ATTTTTCAAGAAAAAATTAAACCTGCCCCCAGCACTTTTTAAGTACCATGTATCACGATGAATAAATCTATATAACAATCTTTACACAATTTGTGTTATGCACTTGTGCCACTAGCTACTTGTACAACATTTAAGAATATCAAAAATGTCCATTTTAAGCCTTCGGGATAGCTGTGATTATAATTGCGTCATGCTGTGTAAATTTTTTCCGTATTACATGTAGTTGAAATGTGAATTATCAAAAAATTATCAGGAGTTGCAAGCCTATACACTGTTGACAAATGTAATTATTGGATTTGTTTATTTAAAAAAAAAAGATAACTTTTCATGTACATAAGATGTATAATTAGAAATTTTATCAACTTAACAATAACAAAGAAAGGACACATTTTTACAGTAAACAATGGATTCCATGTTTATATATACATAATTTAAAATCATAATCAGGAAATTAATTAGCTAAACTTATTTGCTATTAATTTTTCTCAAAAGGTAATTTTTCTGTGTGGTAAAAAGCATAGCTTTATCAGTGTATACTTTGGTAAGACAATATAATTAATCTGGATGTTACTAAAAGAATTAATCTTTTGAATTTTCAGAAAAAACAGTACATATATTTAAAATCTTCATATATTTTGAATAATATTTTAATAATATATCATTACAGTGCATAAAAAACTCTACTTGAAATTTTATTTCAAACTGAGTAAAGATTTCCGTATATCACTTCGTTATACCGTATTATTCATTATATATTGCAATCTCTTTATCTCCCCCTCTCTCTCTCTCGGGTAATTTTTCTCTCTCTCTCTCTCTTACGAAACGCTTATTAAGTTAAAATTGTTGGTGATCTTAATACTTTATCTATTCGTTAAATTTTTGAATTGAGCATGGTCATAAAAATGTTTAATATGTCGGCCCTGACAACCAGAATTTATCATTTTGAATGATTAACGTACTATCTCTCTTTTCATTCTTTCTTTTCCCTCTCATTCTTTCTTCTCTCTCAATTCTTTCTTATAACACTTACGATTCATTAGATTTCTCTATGTTTATTCTCTCTCTCCCTCTCTCATTCTTTTTTCTCTCTCCCTCTTTTTCTTTCTTCTCTCTCTCATACACATGTCTCTCTCATCATTATTGTCTCTCATTCTTTCTTTTCTCTCTCTCTCTCCTTTGTTGAAAACTCCTAGAGAGACTTCCTCAAACTCCATTATGATTAACATTGACTTAAAGTGTAGGAGGTCGGACACAGATTTTTCATATAAAAAAAAGTTTTTACTGGAAGCAAAAAAAAGGAAACCTGTTTAAAAAATATGAAATTCGGGGGAATTGGCAATTTTTTATTTTCAATACCAATTTCTTTTTCATATATAATACATTATCAGAAATCCTATTTGACCTTACTGCAACAAAAAGTTGGGGAGACTTATAATTTTTCCATGTACATTGTTACAGACCCTAAACCGTGCTACTACACCTCAGAAACGAACCCTAAACCGTGCACAAAGCGTACACCGTGAACAAAGCGAACCGTTCCGTTCTCAGAAAGCGTACCGTACCTTCCACAAAGCGAACCGTTCCGTGTACAAAGCGTACCGTACCGTGCACAAAGCGAACCGTTCCGTGCACAAAGCGTACCGTACCGTCCACAAAGCGTACCGTTCTGTGCAGGAAACGAACCGTACCGTTCTTTGGTTAATTATGCAAACCATGCCCCAATGATTTTCGAACTGTGCTTTGACCAAATTTGGTTTATTTCTCTCAATTGCGCCCGTGAAAGAGGACGGAGGTTATGTCTAGCTATTTGAAACACCATTATCAAGTAACATGCATTTGGGCTTTCAACTGTGAAAATTCAAAACAACTAGACAGAGTTTACATTGATTACTTATTTGCTATAAATTAGATCAACTCGTTGTGTTTGTGATCAAAGGTACAGTACAGGCCACGAGTTTTTCCCGCAAAACACGTACGGCACCGTGAACCTTGAACTCGATGTCGGCATCTTTGAAGTCAGCGATTGTGGACACCGTGTAACACGGTATATAACAGTTCCCCATTACGGAACTGATAATAAATGTTTTCATTTTCTTTATTTAAGAATAAACTTTAAAGAAAAAGTTTGTTGTACTTAAATATTCGTAATTTAACTATACAGATGTTTAAACTAATTCCCTGGTTGTCTTGACTTAATTTCGATTTTAATTTTGCCCATTTCAATTGCTGAATCAGATACACGACCGTTTTTGCCCTAAGTATGCATTCATATGTAGTTCATATCAGGTGCCTGATTTTACTAATTAATTATTTTGTAAGAAATTTAAAACATATAATTATGAACTTTCAGGCTGGAGTAAAATTAAAAAAAAAAAATGTATAAGATTAATATTTTAATTAATTCTCCTCAGATAATTATACTCGGCGAATCACTGATGCAGTTAGACTTACACTGAAAATCGGCAATTCTGTCTAATATGGATTTAAATCGCAGTACAGTTAAGGCAACACATGAAAAAAATATGGTAATGAAGTCATAATGAGGTCTGACGTCATGACAGTTGCTCCACCCTGATTGATCCATATAAGGAAATACTGCTCAAAATAACTATTTACCGATATTGGCAACAATTTGTAATAAACAACAATATCTTCATGTTTAAATAGAAAATAATTAGTGATTTTCTCGTATATAGAATAGCATGTCTTTAAAATAATTCTCTTTTTAATGTGTCGTTTGTCTGCATTCGGCTTCAGCCAAGCGCTTGCACTCGGTGACACGGATGTTGTTTACATCTAAAAAGGTGGCGACATCAGCTGAGATTTGCAGTGGATTTAAATGCAATAACCACACAATCTTTAAAGAAAATAGGGATAAAAGAAGAGACAAGGCATTGCTTCACCATTTTACAAGAATATAAGGACATTATTTCGGAAAATAGCAGAAAACTGAGACGATTTGCACCAGCTCTAGCTCCGTAGATCAATCACTGCACTGTAATTCCAGGCCAGGTATGTATACCCATATGTAGGTACATGTGTAGATCTACAATATGTAGACATGCTTTTGTTAACATAAAATAAAGCGAGTGTGTTCATGTTCATTAAAATGCATTAGTACAGTCAGTGAAAAACTGTAAATATGCACTGCCTTGTGTGTAACAACACCCCCCCCCTTATACTAAGTTGCACACTTTTTAGAATTATTAAAAATTAATTGCACTAAATATGTACTGAGTTCCTGTCAATTAACTCATTTTCTTTGAGACAATATGTATAATAATGGAGATCATCAGTAACACAAATTTAAACTAAATTGAATGAGATGTTTTCATTGTTTCAGTCAATGATTTACTAGTGACTAGGCCTAAACAAACAATGATGTATTCTGACATACAAATATGCTACACAATTTTAAAAAAAATATCCGTAACATTGTGTGGAAAACATAAAAGCCCAACTTCAGATCTATGGTTGTAATTTTCTACAATTTCTAAATTAATGAAAAAAAAATCATTTTTTGTTTAGATTACATGTACATTAAAAATATTTATATAATACTTTTATCATTGTAGCTGTCCAGAGTTTCAGGCTTAAAGAGTGAATAAATAAAAAATGCATCATTACTCCACAGGGTATGTAAACTTCTAAGCATTTCACATTTTCAAAGTTTGCAATGTGCTTTACAATTGTCTTACGTTGTTTTTTAAAAAATTTTACATTCAAAACATTCAGTGATACAAGTTTCCCCCGATATAGTTTTTGTCGTGTCCGTCTGTCTGTCTGTCTGTCTCTCTGTCTGTCTGTCTCTCTGTCTGTTTGTCCGCAAAAAACTTTAACCTTGTCCATAACTTTTGATTTGGTGGAGCTATGACTTTCATATTTCATATGTATATTCCTTGTGACAAGACCTTTCTTAGGGTACCACCAAATTTGACCTTTTGACCTTGACCTTGGAGTTTGACCCACTTTTACATGAAAATTTTAAACTTTTTCTTTGGCCATATCTTTTGAAAAGTAGATACCAGGACTTTTATACTTCACATATTTAATGTTTGTTGAAAGACCTTTCATTGGATACCAACAACCTTGACCCTTTGACCTTGACCTTGTAGATTTCCGTACTTGTGAAAAAACTTTAACCTTGGCCATAACTTTTGAACGATAAGTAATAGGACTTTCATACTTCATATATATAATCCTTGTTAGAAGACCCTTCGTTGGTGTACCATCAAATTTGACCTTTTGACCTTGACCTTGGAGTTTGACCCACTTTAACATGAAAATTTTAAACTTTTACTTTGGTCATATCTTTTGAACAGTAGATACCAGGACATTTATACTTCACATATTTAATGTTTGTTGAAAGACCTTTCATTGGATACCAACAATCTTGACCCTTTGACCTTGACCTTGTAGATTTCCGTACTTGTGAAAAAACTTTAACCTTTAACCTAACTTTTGAACGGTAAGTAATAGGGCTTTCATACTTCATATATGTAATCCTTGTGAGAAGATTTCGTTGGTAACCAAGAACTTAGACCCTCTGACCTTGACCTTTGAGATTGACCTACTTTAAAAAAGCAAACCTTGACCATAACTTTTAAAGAGTTAGGGCTAGTGCTTTCATACTTTACACATTTGATTCTTATGACAAGACCTTTCATTTAATGACAAGAACGATGTCCTTGACCTTGGAGTTTGACCTACTTTTAAAAAAAAAATGAACGTTGGCCATAACTTCTGAATGGTTAGGACTAGGGCTTTCATGCTCAACATAAGTATTCTATGTGGCAAGACATTTCATTTGATACTAATTACATTGACCTTTTGACCTTGACCTTGGAGATTTTTGTACTTATTTAAAAAAAAAACTTTAACATTTCGTTACTTTTAAATTTCACAATTGTTTTCCAGTGAGAATACCCTACTTTTGGTACTATTTAGTTAAATTTGCATTTAAGAAAAGCTTAATCTTTGCTATGTTTACGGGGGCATCAGTGTTTCACAAACACATCTTGTTCATTTTGGTAAAGAAGAAACTTAGAATTTTATTTATAGAAAATATTCTATCAATAACTATGTAAATGTCAGAGGTTTCACTTTCCAAGAGAAGTTTTGTAACACATTTTTTTTTCATTTAAATCAATAACATAAATTCACTACAATATACAGTGTAGCATAATTTGTTTTGTCAAATGTAATGCCATTTTATCCTACAATGTATATTTAGTAATCTCATAGCATATAACTGCATATATATTGTGTTGTAGGCCTAGCTACTCCCAGATGTTGGACAAATGGATTCATTCAGGCAGCAAGTTAATCCATCATTTAAGGAAAATGGTATGCTCAATATAAGCTATAAACCGTACAAAGTTTTGATAATAAAACTAACAGAAGAATTGAAAACATGTGTAGCAGTTTACCAGTTTATTAACATCTCTTTTGTTGTTATTTAACAACATAGAGATCAATACGTATCAATATAACATATATACATACATGCATGAGCGTAACATATAACATATATACAAAGTGTGCTTATAATCAAGTATTTCCATATTATAATAATTGTTTACATTGATGTTAACCTGGAGGTTTGACTCTCTCGTTTATAATTTTAATAAAAGAACAAAGTTTACTCAATAGTCCAACATTTTTGGAAGAAAACAATTCATTAAATTTGATAATATTTGGTCTTGTAAAATGATTTTTCGGGATATACAATTTTCAACTTTTAATTTTTCACAACATAAAATATAGTGGAATTCATCACCAAGATCATTTTTACACAAAAGACATTTTCTGTAGCGGACAGTATATAGGGAACTTATACTGCCTCGCCAGTGAGCTAGCTTTTCTGGTGATGCGGTAAAGTCTCCCTCTATTTCACGCAAGTTAAGCAACGGCGAGCCTGTTTAACCTTTGGATGGGTGACCGCTTCACATTACACATGTAATATGTAAATTCAATGTTAAATGTTTCCATGCATTTTTTATTTCATTTTTAAAACACAAATTACTTTCAATAAAGTATTTCCTGATTTTCTCCTATTTTCAGAATTCATTTTATCCACAAGAACATGAGGTGATGGAAATAATTTGCACCTGCCCAGCATTCCTACAGTCTGTCATTGGATTTGAAAAGAAATGTTTATTAAATAAATTTTCTAGATGAATAATAATTTGACTTTTTCATATATTTAATGTACAGATAATGAAAAGGCCATTAAGATATGAAAATCTTAACTTTCTTACTATTTTGTGTGGAGGGTACTAATGATCATCAAGATCTTATTTCCAGCATGTGCATTGTGTTCATTTATCTTTCAATAATATTACCAAAAACAGGAGACTAGAGATCCCCCTAATTGATTCAAAATAGGATAGGGGACCACCATTTGTTCTGAGGGGGGGGGGGGGCAGGCGAGTTTTTCAGTCAGATTTTTTTTTTTTCATTTTCATGTCAATGAAGGACAGATTAATATTTATTTCCGATCAATAAGATGAAGGACAGATTATTTATTTTCCTCTTCATTAAAAATACTACATGCAAATTTTTTTTTTTTTTAAATGTAAAAAAAAAAAAAAAAACTCACATTCGTGGGAGGGGGAGATCACTGATCTGCAAGTATTTATTTTTAAAATCTGCCAGTCCCTCACCCTCAAAATAAAATAGCTGTCCCCTTAACAAATACAGGGGTATACCCCAATTCTTTCTAATTAGTACCTTAAACTTATAACTTAGTTTATATCCCTTAATTAACAGTAAGCGGTCTGATTGAAAGCGATCGTAGAACATGACCTCGTATGCAGAAAGAAAAAAAAAATTAACACAAGTGTTTGTACCATAGGCGTCGGAAGCAATATGAAAGATTGAAAGGGGGTGGGGGGGGGCTAAGCCAAAAGGAAAAGGCAAATTCCAATGCCTACATTATGTATATAATTTGCAAATAAGTAGGGATCTAGGGAGGCTAACCCCCCCCCCCCCCCGGTTCCGAGGCCTATGCGTACAGTAGTGAGAGAGGGGAATAGATATCTAATTAATTATTAATGAAGGCTATATTTTAATTAACCATTTGTGTTCTACATAAATATATCGGCAATATTTATACCTATTTGTGTGTAATACTACGTGTAATATATACACATCGTTGAGGAAATGCGGGAGGTTTGAAAGACATTAAATGTATACAACGTATGGAGAACGAATACACAGAAAAGAAAGAAATGTCAAGGATTTTTATGCATACCGTTTGATTTAGTAAAAAAAAAGAGTCAAGTCCTGCCCGCATGTATATTTATTTTAAATTTACGAGGTAAACAAACTATATCAAGTACTCCAGAGTTATCTCCCATGCTGGGACAGTGATGTGTTTGAAAACTATAATTAGATTGACTCTTCCAAGATTTCATTTTTTAATCAAAACGTTCAAGGGCAAGGCGACAATCTAAAAAGTAGGTTTTTATTTTAAATTATTTATTTTATTGTATAGTTTTTAAAAAGTGATGCTCATTACTTTGTAATCCTTTAGTTAATTTATAATTCGTGATGAAATTAGGAAAATATCCTATTTTTCATACATTACTGTCTGTTTTAGCTGAATAACTTAATTATATCGGAAAACTAACTGAATGAGCATCACTTTTGAGAAAATATAGATACATAGAGACAACATAAAACATTGTGCAGTTAATTGTTTGTTTGTCTTGCCCTTGCACTTTTTGGTTAAATTTGACATTTCATTTTTTAACCTAAAATCGGAGCCCACGTGACTTCAGGGGGTCACATGATGTCAAAAAATACCGATGTGAAAAGCGATGGACATACTCTTCAAAATCACAAAAAGCTGTTTTAACTAGAGTGTATTGCTAAAAAATAAAACTGTTAAACATTATATGTATCGGATACCGTGACTTTTTATAGAAAATGTTGCCTTAACTGTACTGCAATATTACATGCGGTGAACGGATATAGTCTGACTAATAAAAATCATAGTCTACAGGATACATGCTTATTTGTGTCTGAAAAAAGGATAACTTAAATAAAATGAAAATAGAAAATACAATGATTTTTCTCAAACCTCTTATGGGCCACATTATGTTTGTTACCCCCCTTCCCCCCTTTTCTAGAAGGCGATACTAATTAGCTTGTTAAAACTCATCAAAAGTCTGCGAATTTATGTGACGCTATCATGATAATTAATGGATACACCCTTATCTAATTGTGTCTGAAAAGAGACATTTTAGGAAGTAGATGTCTTTCGCTGAGTGTCAGTTGAATGAGTTTTAAAAATGCATGTACACTTGATGTAGTCAGAGCTAAATAATTTGAAAGGTGTGTTAAATACACGGCACCCCGACCCTCTGGCTGTGGCCCAATATTTTTAAAAAGGTGTGAACTCTGAACTGACCATCAGAATGAGAAATTCTTTCCGCGTAAACAGACTTTCAAGGTCACATAGCGTCTTGCGATTTTGATTGACAGGTGATGCACAAGGCTTCCTGCGTACAGCATGTATGTGCAGAGAACGAATTCATTGCGCAATAGTTGTAAATAGGTTGAGTTTGAACCAAAGTTGTGGAAATTAAATAGCATCTGTGACTTTGGCGATGTAAATAAAACTAAGAATGAAATAAATACAAGGTATTGTTTTTTTTTTTTTTTTTTTTTTTTACAGATTATGTAACTTATCAAAATGAAGAAAAACTTATTTATATAATTACTTAGACTGAAAGGATTTTTAAAAACATAATACTAGTTTATGAAAAGAAATGTTTTCTACACGCAAAATGCGATCGGAAGTCATTTTATTGATTCCGAGTTTCTGCTTCTGATTTTCGTATCTAAATTCAGAGTAATTAAAGATTTTCAGATTGAATAAAGATTTACTTAAGAAAAAAAAAACCAAACAAGTATTCTATGCCCTGTAAATTTTTAAAAATTATTTTTCTTCAACATTTTTTATTAATAAATTTATTTTTTGTTACTGATATTTCTCTTCTAAGGCAGACATTTAAACGATAGATCAAACAATTTTAAAAATGAGAAACAATCTATATTTCTTATTACTAAGATTAAAAATAAAAGCACGAATAGTCATATTTTTTCTGGAGATCAATCAATTGAAAATAATTTATATACGTGTATACTAGTGTAAAATATAGAACAAGTATATATTCAATTCTGTAAAAGCTTTATTCTAGAAAGAAATTTTCTCGGCATACGTAAAATTAAAATACGTACGGAAATATTTACCTATCAATATATTTACAAATGCCAAAAAGATCAGTGGGACGATGTTTTTCCTTTCATTTTATTTTCTTATTTCCTCCATCACTGCTTCAGTGTAAATTAATTTTTAAAATTGAAATCGAAACATAGCACACAAGGCTATGATAAACACAATTATAGCATACATGTACATGTATTAAAACATTTGAACTTCCCTAATAAATAGAAACTCATTAATACTTCAATTTATATGAATAAATAAATTACATTCTGTAATAACGGAAATAAAATTGTACACGTGCATAACGATCTTCAAAATTCGTTTAAATTGGACTATTTTTTAGCAGCCAATCAATGACCAAAGCTAACAGGCTCCGCCCACTTCATTTGCATACCGTTTCCCAAAGCGTACCGTTCACAAAACGAACCGTTCCGTGCAAGAAACGAAACGTACCGTCCACAAAGCGTACCGTTCCGTGCATAAAGCGAACCGTACCATGCACAAAGCGTACCGTTCCGTGCACAAAGCGAACCGTTCCGTGAACAAAGCGTACCGTACCGTGAACAAAGCGAACCGTTCCGTGAACAAAGCGTACCAAACCGTACCGTGCAAGTGGTGAAGTAGCACGGTTTAGGGTCTGTACTAGTAAAATTTAATGTATGGCGGAAGTAAGGGAGGGGGAGTGTTCCCCCTCGTGGCTTCTTAATCTTACCGTCTATGTAAATCTTTCTTTCTCTTATCTTACTTCTACCCCCTCCCTCCTATCTTACTTCTACCCCCTCCCTCCTATCTTACTTCTACCCCCTCCCTCCTATCTTACTTCTACCCCCTCCCTCCTAACTTACTTCTACCCCCTCCCTCCTATCTTACTTCTACCCCCTCCCTCCTATCTTACTTCTACCCCCTCCCTCCTATCTTACTTCTACCCCCTCCCTCCTATCTTACTTCTACCCCCTCCCTCCTATCTTACTTCTACCCCCTCTCTCCTATCTTACTTCTACCCCCTCCCTCCTAACTTACTTCTACCCCCTCTCTCCTATCTTACTTCTACCCCCTCCCTCCTATCTTACTTCTACCCCCTCCCTCCTATCTTACTTCTACCCCCTCCCTCCTATCTTACTATTTTACTTCTACCCTTCCCCCTCTTATATTTTTATACAGCAATTAAGATTGAATAAATCCAATGACGGAATAAAAAATTTAGTTGTAACTAAGTAAGATTACTGTTTTTTAGTTAATGACAACACGTGTATTTCCTTTTAATGATGAATATTTTCTTGGTGTGATCCAGTCATACTGACTATTGTCATACTCCTCACCTTATGTTGCGGACAATACCGTCTGTTGTCACCTTGTACGGCGGCTTCGCGTGTTTTATGTATACACGTGTTTTCAGGCACACGTAAAACACATGTAGCGATAAATATTTATCATTTGAACATATTTATTGCTTTCTTTATTACAGAAGAGTCAGAAACAAGATCTTACAACTTACAAGTTCTTCTAGTGTTCCTGAAAAAACATATTGTGTTAAATTTCATTATTAAAAGAAAAAAAAACCCACCCTTCATTGGCTAACAAAAAACAATATAATTACTTCTATTTTTTTTTTCATTAATTCGCTGTTATATTTTAAAATTTATTTATGATTGTTGAATGATATGTAAGAGAGAGGAAGGTGGAAGGGGAATTATGTCACCGAAGGGTTGCTCCTATAACCAGTACATACATATACAGTTACTGACATTGTTTGAGTAATAACACACTACATATACTCATATTAGCAAATTCCACAAGTGCATTTAATTGGTGAGAGATGAGCAATGAAATGCAAGAAGAGTTTCATTTCCTGATCTTTCTATCAATACGCAGCCGCCCGCTTGGTGCAGTGGTTACAACGTCAGTTC